AACACTCAACTCTGAGGAGCTTTCTAATTGAACAAACATGTTCCATAGGTACTCCACTGTGCTGTTCAGTTACTTGTGTCTTTTCGCATATAAGAGAAGAGAGAGGAAAGCAAAAATGAAATTTTGGAAGATACTTGGTGAAAATTGTTCTACACATAGATCATTAGAACAAAGTTTGTTTGGAGGTAACATCATGTGGCTGTAGTTTCAGACTGAGAGGAGCCATTCCTTATACAGTGAGGTGTGCACATTTTGAAAAGCCACTGGTGTTGTTCTTCATCGTTCTGCACTGCCTGTGATACAGACAGGAGTCTGGAATTGATGCTGAAGTGTTTTGAGCCCTAAGCATCTCACAAAGTCCAGGAACAGACTGCCATGTGGAACTGCCCTCTTTTTTCCCTGATGAAGTGATGGGCATCTGCTGCTGTATTTCCTGCTTGTGTGGCAGGAGAGCTGTCACAGATGTTCCCCATGGCAGCCATGGAATCCTCAGTAAAAGGGATCTCTTGCCTTTCAGATCAGCTACACAGCACAGACCCTTGTTGTCTCATGACTGGCAGAAGGAGCAGTGACTTCTAGAGGAGGAATTCATAATTCATTGGAGTGTCTTCTCAATCTAGGCATAGGCTGCTGTTTAGAAAAAGTGTTTTAGGCACTGAGGAGATGGAAGCTAATGAAATGTATGACAAAGACAGTCTGATAGGATTGTCTAGAAATGTAGCTTCTCTACAATTGTGAATTGGCATAGAGGAGTTCAGTATGAATTTTTGAGTTGTACTTGAGGTTTTTTCTAGTCCCCCAAAGGATTTAAAGGTTGAGTGAAGCCTTTAGCATCATTGTCTGTTTGGAGTAAGAATGACTGGTACTTGGTGAAATTATGAATAATTCAGTGTATCTGTGGTGGAAAGTGGGGACAGGAGAAAAAGAAGTTTGGAATTTTTTTGCTTCACCTAGAGTTTGGGGAGTAGTTAATGCCTAACAAAGAAAAACTTCGAGCTGGAGACAATTTCTGATCAACTGGTGCAAGGCAACCTGGTTTATCCAGGAAAATAGGAATTTAGGAAAATAGGAAAAGAGAAAACAACTAACACAAAATAGAAGAAAGGTGTATGCCTTTATTTTCTGAATAACATTTGTATTTTCCTGATGATGCATGGTGCAGGGAGAAAATTTCAGGCAAACCTGAAGAATACAGTAACCTTATTCCACCTTTGACCAGAGCACGGCTGTGTTGCAAAATTATTGAGAATGACAGGTATCAAAGGGTAAAAATATTCTTCTAGCATTTTGTTCTTATAATTAAATAAGAAAAACAGTCTTGGACAACAATTCTACCTTTAGTGATTGGTTAATAACAAACTTGAAACTCTAAACTCATTTGTGGGATGATACTCATCAAATTTCTTTTAACTAACACACACAAATTCAAAAATAGCACACATTTAGATGAGGACTAAAACCCTCCTGCTTTCTTACCCATCAAAAGATTTGAAAGCATGTGGGTTGTAGAAGATGAAGGATATCTGAAGTCATTAGGGTTCCCTTCTGTACTAAAATGATTTAGTAATAAGAGACTCAGTATGAATTAAGCTTTTTACTACAGTAGGTGTCTGGGGCAGTTAATTTTCTTATTTAGTGTTTCTGGTAGGACAACTTCTCTGGAGATTTATAGGACTCATCTCCACAAAGACAAGAAGCCTTTCAATGTCCTTGATCTTGCATCCAGAAACTATTGTCCATCATGTCTGTGTGCCCCTCAGGGGATTTTCAGTAGCAGGGTATGATGATTGTTTTTGATAGTATCTCTACAGATTCTTTAAAACTTTAATTTCTCATTTTTTCAAGTTAAAGTTGTAGGATGGAGGTAAAAGTATTGCAGTAGCCTTCTGGGACAGGAGAGGGTGAGAACTGGGTTGAGAAAAAAGGGTTTCATTCCTGAGGCAGTGGAAGATTAAATATCATAGAAAGATGGTTACTGAACTCGTGTCACAGTAGTCTTTCCTATTTGCAGATAGACATGGTCTGCAGATACTTCAGGTATGGTGTTCTTACTTTTAAAAATGAATAATACAAAATGTTTTATCTCTGGTGCTCCTCTCGGTACCTCCTTGGGTTTGTTGTGGCTAGAATTGTCTCTGGGCTGTGGAGCTGTGTGTCCTTCATAAGCAACTCTGGGTGTGCCGTGTGGCTTTTGTTCAGGATGTCTTTTATGATGGGTGGGAGCGGGACTGACCTATGTATTGGCATGTGGGAAAAGGAGAACTGGCTTTTGTACCACTGGAGAGTTGAAATTAAGCCAGGCTACATGGCAAGACTCAAAATTTGGAAGTTTTTTCTTCATATATATGTAAAGGAAGCCAGCGTATTGACACTGTTACTCCATTCTCAGTGCTGAGTCTCTTGTGTTATGTGGTCAGCCTTGTGTGAGTCACTGATGCCCCTACAGACAGTGCTTTGAGGAAAAAATAGTTCCTGTATATGAGAAAGTATTATGAGAAACATCAAGATGTTGAACAAGATGATTCCAGGACACTGAATATCCAAATGGGAAATACAAGACTATAATGTGAAGCCCCATAATAAATATTTGTTCTTCCCCGAAGTGAAATGCCCAACTCGCTTATAATTTCTGGCATTTATCCCCTCTTTGCTATCTTTTGCCCCTCATAGTGGCCACTGACGAGAATTCTTGCAGACAAGCAGAATTACACTGAATAAGTGAAGGGAGGTGTAGAAAAATTTTAGTTCACTTGCTTCTTTTTCCGGACTGTACAGGCAGCTGGGAAGCCTAGTCACCTCTGAGAGTAAAGACATTGCTTTATTGTTATGACATGAGTGTTTATTATTGACTTGCACAATAGCTATAGGAAAAATGATGTATTTTTTCCCTGTGGAGCTACTGTTAATTTGCACATATCTAATGTAGGTGCATACAGTGTCTCAAGTGCTAATTTGTATCCTACTGATTATAAGAAAGTCTGGAGGAGTAGATCAGATGTAGATATGTTTATAGTTAAGTAGGACACTTATTACCCATCATATATGATATTGTTCTGACACCATTAATGTTTTAAGGGATCAAAGAATGCTTTCAAGGGAATTAGATTTACCTTAAAATCCACTAATGCTATAATCCATACAAAGATGAGTCCTTAATTTGAATGCAGAGAGTTACAATACTGATCATCATCACTGTCCTATGCTTCTACAAATTATCTGATAGTTTGATGTACTTTACTTGGGAATTTAAATGTCACTGTATCCATTTAACAGATGGCGAAACTATAGCGCAGGGTTTGTGAAACACATCTAATTAAAATGAAAACTGTTAAATGGATGGGTATCCATTTATACAGTATTGATAAAAAAGGTTACGTTCTAGTGTATTTAGTTAACTGCAGTGGCTAGGATTCCAGATACTCTGAAGTATTATTTGAAGTCTGTAGATGTGGTTAAGCTGACATTCTCACATTGGAGAATGGCTCCTATCTAAAAGAAGGGACCCCTTCTTTGTCTCTCAAGCATATGGAGAAAAAAGAAAGTTTATGCTCAGCTTAACAAGAAACTGCACAAGAGAATGTTGAAAGTATTTTGGATTTTTTCCTTGTATGACTGTTTTCTAATAAATTACTTGGATTAGAAAAAGACTTGTTGCATTTATCTGGGGTAGTGTAGTGTATCTGACATTTGTGTTTGATTAGCCTTGAAGAACTAATTTTTTTAAGAGTCCTAGCATTTTCAATATTAGATTTAAGCCATGCCTTATGGCGTTGCCCTGTCTCTTCCTG